GAGGAGAGAGAGAGAGAGAGAGAGAGAGAGAGAGAGAGAGAGAGAGAGAGAGAGAGAGAACATATTCACTACGAACCAGCAAACTACTTGCATGACCATGTATCCTTTTTTTTATGGTCTAACCCAGAGTCAAAGCAGACACATGCCGTGTCTCACACTGCTGAATCACAAGGTTACATGGGACCTCTGAGATAGTCTTATACAACATTTTCCCTCAGGAAATAACTGACCTATTTGTAATAAGCCCTATTGCTTCACCGAGGGCCAAGTAAACCCCCACACAGAGTGAAAACACAAGGCCCACAGCCGAGGCTGTCTTGCCAACCCAACTGATGACATCCTACCACAGAAATAACTTTGTGATCTGTATCCACAGACCAGATTTAGGAGGTCAGTAGACCGAGTCACCAAATATCGGCCACATGCCCAGATGTTGGCCATTTGTCTCTGAGACATAACGTCCATCAGTTTCATAAGGAAGTTCCGGAGCTTCAACAGTTAAAGATAACTGTATGAATAAAAAAACCGCAACCCACCTTAACAAGACGTGGCCCAGAGACACCTGAGCAAGCACCGTCCCAAGAGAAGACACTCTCACTCTGTGGCTGCTCTCACTGGCCCACTGACACCTCTGAGCTTTATCAGAGTTTTTGTTAGGTTTCTCAATAAGACACAGCATTCAACAGAGGGATTCATATTTCAATTATTTTTAACCGGTATCACTGGCAATTACTTGGCACAGGAAAATAGCTCTGCAAATCCTAGAAATAGTTCTCGGTGCAGTGGGCGGGGCTTTCAGAGCCGAGATGAGAACTTCACCTTCTCGGAGTCCTGTTTTATCCCCGGGTAGCCTGCTGCTTCCTCCTGCCTCCACACGAACCCAGCCTCTACAGCAGGAAGGATGCAGTGAGCTCACAGCATCCTGCTCCTGGCTGGACCTGTTTAGTGTGGTGTCTCAGGCTCCACACTCCCTGCTCCAGCTCCACGGAGGCTGAATTCTTCTTGGAAGTTCCCTTAGCTCTTTGACCCCCCATTTACACTGCAGAACACCCTCTTTTTGTATCAGTGAAATCCTTAGAATAAAGTACAGCCTGGTGTGGTGGCTTGTGTCTTTTAATTCCAACACTTGGGAGTCAGAGGCAGGCAGGTCTCTTGTGAGTTCCAGGACAGCCTCCTGGTCTATCTACATAGCAAGTTCCAGGCTAGCCAGTGCTACGTATTGAGACCCTGTCTCAAAACAAAAACAAACAAACAAAAAACCAAAACAAACAAAAAACCAAAAAAATAAAACAGAAGGTATAGTCAGCTATTTCTTGACGTTTTCCTGTTCCCAGGGCTTTGCCTGCTCTGCGATGAGAGACATGGAACTCACTGGTCCTACCTTAGTTTCCTCTGAAGTCTGGGACTCCTGCCCCTCAGGGTGACACACAGGATGGAAAACAGTGCCTACTGTCCGTGACTCCTGTGTCTGTTGCCTCACTCTTCAAGTGCTCGTCCTGGAGCGCCTTCTGTGTAAGTCTACTAAGTAGCCCTGAGGGGCAGAGCAATGAGCTCTAATCCTCTTGCCAAAGGGGCCATGTGGGATGTGGGAGGATCTGTTGCAGCTTCTGTGAGGTACTGAGACAAACACAGCTTTGACTCCTTGGGACAAAGCACCTGCAGGTCTTTACCTACGTTGGGATTTCCAGAAAGATCACAGTAGAGAATACTAAGGAGGCTGCGCAGACTTTGCTGGGCAAGACAGAGGCCTGTCTGGGGAGATTCCTAAGAATCAGGCCATCTCTTATGCTCAGACCTTCCCCATGGTTCACTGGCCCATAATAGTTAAACAAGGGACTGGGGTTTCTAGAAAAGAAAGCTGAAGCAGTTGTCTACAGTTAGAGAGCGAATCTCCCTACAGCCATCAGGATGAAGCCAAGTCCAAGGGAGGCAGGATCCGGGGATGAGGACAGGGGTGTGCAGTGGGTAGCCATTCCAACCTTGATCTGGAAGTTCCAACCCTCATTGAGGCTTCGGTAACTGTCACGCCTACAAGGCGGGGCCAAGAGAGGGCCCTGAAGACTCAAGAGATCCAGATGTGCCAGCTCTCTTGGTTCCCTGACCCTGGGCACTAGAGGTAGACCGAGCAGAGTTCTCCAGAGAACACCACCAGACTGCCACGCCTTTCCAGACTCTGTAAACTATCCATTCACTTGTAAGTTACCCCACAAAATAAATCTCCCTTTTAACTATGTGGAGTGGCCTTAATAATTTCACCAATCGGGTGTCACTCCCAGGGAAAGCACAGAGGTGGGGGGCTATCACTAGCTCATCTATTTGCTACTCATCTTCCCAGCATCAAGGACTCCAGACAGAGGGGCATGGCCCTAGACTGCTTGAGGTGTCGTCAACTTGACCAAAAGTTAGATTCACCTGGGAGACGGGCCTCTGGACACACCCACGGGGTAAGAGCAGACCCATCTTCATTGTGGGCGGGACTGATTCTTGGGCAGGAGATCCTGGACTGTATAGGTAGCTAGAAGGGAGGGCCGAGCACAAGTGTGTATGCATTCACTGCTCTCCGGGAACGGCTCCCCGCTCCGCCATGGCTCAACTTCTCCGCCATGATGGGCTGTAACCTGGAACTGTGTGGCACTACTGTTGCTTGTCATTTCAGGGAAGTCATGAGGCTGGAGCTCTGCCTCTCATCTCTGGGACAGGACACACACAAGCCAGAGCTGAAGCATCTCCAGGATGCTCTGTGGACCCTGTACTGCTGAGTGCTGAACAGCCCCCAACTGCATCGTGAACCCCACAGGGACGGAAGCTTTTGCCTATTTTGGTCAAACTTCTAAAATGCACCTGGCACATAGTAAGTGTTTAATGAAAAGGTTGATGTTGACTATGACGTCCTTCTGGGGTTGGGCAGGCAGAGGCCTTGGTTTTCTTAGTGCGGAGAAGACAGGGAAACTAGGCATTCTCAACGCTACGTGTTGTATTTGGAAAACTCAAAGTGGCAAACACTGTGTAGGGCCCCTCACACACCTCTAGCAGGGGGGATGTGGGGAGGGCCTGGCCCAGGGCAACAATGGGAAAGGGGACTTCAGGCTGCCCCGCCTCTGCAGTTCTTGATTATTTGCTAAAATTGTTCCTACTGGGTTCAATTTACTCTGGAGATAAATCTCATTGCCAGCCAAATGCTGTCAGGAGGAGTCACTCAGTCTTCTCGCTCCCCGCTCCCCCTCCAAGGCAGCGGAATCCAGATCTTTCTCTTTCTATTTCAATCCCCTCTGGCAGGATACCTCGGATGACCTCCCTTCTCTAGCCTCTTCATGTTGGCCATCTCACTGCTTCTCCCTCAGGCACTGCCCCCTCTCTGGACTCCACATGTCTTCTTCTTCTTCCCCAAGGTCATAGCATATATGGCTAAGGGTATGCCCACCCAAGACTGCCTGAGTTCAAATCCTGAATGGACCAAGTTGGGCGAATCATTTAACTGCTCTGTACTACAGTTTTCCCATCTGTAAGGAGGGGTGATGAGGACAGCCTTTTGCTTGATAACAAACAATACTGGGCATGTATTAAATAATTAGTATGCGTCAGGCTCTCTCCTATGTATTTTTCCTATATTGAAGCACTTAATTCCCACAAACCTCTAGGGGAAGGTTTATTTATTTGTTCATTCATTTATTTAATACTATTTTAAAAAAATATGGTCTCACATAGCCCCTGCTGGTCTTGAACTCATGCTGGAGGCAAGGATGACCTTGAACTCCCGATCTTCCTGCGTGGACCACCAAAGCCCTGAAATTACAAGTGTGAAGCCACTATGCCCAGCTGCAACCAAGTCATTTATTACCCCCAGTTACAACCAAGGTAACAGAGGCTCAGAGAGATTGTCTTCGCCGAGCAACCAGAGAGCGGGGACCCGAGGGGCCAGCTGTGGAGCCAGGCTCCAGCTCTCATGCAGTTGTTGGAAGGATTAAATATGCTTACAGCAATGCCTGGTTTACAGAAAGCCACAATAAGTGGCAGCTGCTGCTACAAGTGTTATGCCCTCCCACCCCAACTCCTGGGAAGCCTATTGGTCCCAGATGGCCGTGGGGTTTATGTGAAAAGGGTCTTCTGAGCTCTGCCCACACTGCAGCCTCCTCTGCCCCATTAGGGACACAGCCCCGGAGCACACTGACTATCATCCACTCTGTACTTGCTCTATTTTCTGGTCAATTGTCTGCATGTCTCTTTCCACGGATGGCTGGGACATCAGGCTTATCCTGGCCTGGAAGTCCCCAGAGGACAGGGAACACAGCGGTGTGAACTCAGCATGAAATGACATGGGTCTGGAGTGACAGCAGTGCCATGTGACATCCCGGGGCCTGCTAGGATGGAGGGAGATGGCGACAAGGTGCTGGGGCTCATGATCCCATTTTCTTCCCTGTCACTTGGGGGGGGGGTGTCTACGGCAACTGGGCTGAGCTTGGACGGTGTGCAGTCACCACAGTGAGTCCTGGCGGCAGACAGAAAGGCCAGGGGATGAGAGAAGGGCGTGTGACCTACAGACAAGCAGGGTCCGAATCCTGGCACGGCCTGGAGCTGCGGGTCTTGAGACAGGTGTCAGAGCCTCCTCTCAGGGCCTCGGGTGTTTCCTTTCTAACAAGGGTGAGACCATGGTTGACGAGCCACGCTGTGTTCACAACGGACTTTGTGTAAGAAGCACCTAGTGTGTGCTTACACATAGTAGGCTTTAATAAATGGTGGCCATCTTTATCGTTTTGGATTTGGGGAATTGGGAGGCACTGGTGCTGGTTTCAGTCCATCTGCTGACTCGCCATCAATCGTGAGCATTAGGGTGATCCCTCCTCAGGGAAAATGAGGCCAGGGTCGAGGAACCAAAGGTCTGTTGGAGCTTTCACTCACTGTGTTCTTGGGTCTTTGCTCTTGCCTCTGTGCTGCAGCAATGAGCTCAGAACACTCTCGTCACGCTCTCCCAGAGGGCACAGCGCTCCTACCTCACTCTTGCCCCAGACTAAGTCACATCAGATAGACCACTCTTCTTAGAATGAGCACCCTATACCCCAATCCACAGTGGACTTGTGGCTTTAAGACAGAGTCTGCTCACCAAGGGAAAAGACACTGACTGACAAGTAAAACCTCCCAGCAGGAGGCCAACTGCATAGCCCCCTCCTGGTCTATGTTTTTATCAACCCTCATATGAGAAGGAGGCAGAGCGGAGTCTCTAGCTGGTTCCCCAGTGACACGTGTTTCTACGAGAGAGAAGCTCCCTTCAGTGTGTGTCCACTTAGCACTCATTCAAACACGCCACAAAGTGGAAGTAATTGAGGAATCCATGTAAACCTCAAGGCAACCCTTTCTGATCCCGGAAATGTGGGCATGTGGCAGAGTCAAGCCCTGCTTTCCTTGCCTGTTCAAATTAAGATCTGATGACGGCCTTGCAGAGAGAGCCAGTGTTGAGTATGAGCCCAAAGCCAAGTTGTCCCTGGAAGAGCCAGGTGGACCCTGGGATAGTCAGGGAAGGCAAACAAGCACCTGTGGACTGGAGGCTTACACGTTTGCCCCCAGGGCAAAAGCAGAAGGAACAGCTGGCTGTGGACAGTCTTTGGCACATATGAAGGCCATCCCCAACACCCCAGCATGGTGGCAAGACATTATGGGAAAATTTCTTCCTGCTATATAAAGATTATCAAGAGTGCTCGCTTGGACTCTATTCCAGGCAGAGTGGTTAGAAGGCAGAGAGAACTCTTTGGCATTCTCCTTCTCTACCCCTCCTAGGACCCTGCACCTCCCCCATGCTTATGAGAAGAGCAGGGAAAGACTGGTGGCTTCTGCTCAGCTGGGAAGGGAAACCCTGGCTCACAGGGGAGGCAGGAGCAACAGACTGCTCACTCCGGATTCCTTTCTCATCAAACACAGTGAATCTACCAACAGGCAGGGGCAATATCTGAGCTTAAAGAAAAGTCCCCCATCTCCCACATATTGGTATTAAAATAATATGATCAATAACCAGGAAATAGCTTGGAGGTGGTGATGCATGTCTTTAATCCCAGCGTTCGGGAGACAGAGGTAGGAGGAACTCTGTGAGTTTGAGGCCAGCCTGGTCTACAGAGTGAGATCCAGGATAGTCAGGACTACACAGAGAAACCCTGTCTCAATAAACCCCCCCTCACAAGAAAAAGAAAAGAAGGAAGGAAGGAAGGAAGGAAGGAAGGAAGGAAGGAAGGAAGGAAGGGGGAGGAGGAAGACGAAGAAGAAGAAGAAGGAGAAGGAGAAGGAGAAGGAGGAGAAGAAGAAGAAGAAGAAGAAGAAGAAGAAGAAGAAGAAGAAGAACAACAACAACAACAACAACAACTGGAAGAGGAAGTGGCAATGAGCTCATGTCCCACATGTCCCTGCTGCAGCATGTTTTGCGCATGATGCATGCCTGATACAGCCAGTCAACTGCTTTGTCAACAGGTATGGGCAGGACACTGGGGGGCGGGGACTTCAGGGACACCACCAGATGCTCTGAAAGAGTTTGCAGAGTGAACCCCTCCACTGTGTGCTCCTTGACAGCAGATCCAAGTCCCCCTCCTCCCGGGCAGCGCTAGCAGTGTTTGTGTGGCATGGAGCAAACGCTCCTTGGGGACTTGCTGACTGAGTGGAGCACACACAGGGAGTGACTCACGACATGTCCAGAGTGAGTTCAGAAGTAGAAGGGCAAAGCCGAGCGGAAACTTTGTGGTCTCCTCCCTTTGTCTCTACTCCATCTTCTCCAAGCTCAGTAAAGCACTGGGTCCCCCACAGAGAAGGCATATCCTAAATCTCTCCTCATCTAACCCATCAAAGAGCACAGTGGATCCTCAGCAAAGATGTGTCTGTCACCATGACAACCAGCGAAGACCACAACACAGGCAGCATCGTGAACCTTGATCCCCCTTCCCTAGGTATCTTGGGGGAGGCTGGTGCTGCCCATTGTTCTGTGTGAAGCCCACCTTTAGAGTTCAAGGCCTTTTGCCTACCTACCCACACACTGATCCCCTAGCCTGGGATCTAGAGGACATGTTCAGATCTGACTGGTGAGGGAGGTCTTCAAGCTATCAAATCAAAGGGCTTCCTAGGGTCAGCCTGCAGCAGGCATGAAAAGCAAAAGTCCTCTTCCCAGCTCAGGGGGTCACAATTAGTAAGGAGCGCTTGGCTAGGTGGATGGAGATCATTAGCCTAACAATGTGGCGCACACATAAGGAAGCCATTACGCTAACAAAAACTGCAAATGTAAAAATAGAGCTGCACATAGTTTCCTGGTTACCACATTCTATTCTGATGCTTTGTCAGTGCCTGTGAAATTCAGTTTACTTCTGTCCTCTGCCCTGCTCCGCTTCCACTGCATGCGTATTTGTTGTGGGAGGAGATGGTTATCCTTTAAATGCCCAGGCCCTGCCCCAGGACCATTCTATGCAAGGCCCTGCTGTAGGAAGTGAGTGTGGCGGTTCTGCGATCTCTCTAAGATCACGCTGCTGTGGAGCTCTCTAGAGACGGCTCCAAAGGGCCAGTTCACCTTCCCACCTGCCCAGCAGGGAACAGAGAGGACACAGTGGCACGCTATCACTGCCCAATGAAGTCAAGGCCTGGCTGGGAGCTAATCTCACATTTTTGCCCAGTGGAGCAGAGCACAGAGATGAAGCTCTAAGACGACCTTCTGGACAGGCTTGAGTCTTCTAAAAGCAAGTTCGTGATGGACCGGCAATGTCAGTGGTATAGCATTGGTCCGGCATGCACAGGTCCCTAGGTTTAATCCTCAGTACCACAAACAAAATCAGGTTTATTGTTTTGCTGGAGCCAGTTTCCTCTGGCCCAGGAAACTGACAGAGAGAGCTTGTCTCCTGCGATGTGCTGTCATATGCAGTTTGGCACACACGTTGCTGAATCCTGCGGTTTATTTTTATTTTTTAATATTGCCAGGAAATCAATCAACACAGAAACCTACATGCTACGGGGGATTTTAGAATCTGACTCTCGGGGGTCCTAGCCAGTGGGTCACAAGGCACCTAGTTATTCGTTCATCATGCACTCATCCAGGGACACTGAACACCCGAGGGTGCACTTAAAAGAGGCATATTACTGAATTTGAATTCAAGGGTCTTCTCGGTCAGTCTCGGGGCTTTGTGTTTATTAGCAGTGTATGTGCTCTGGGTGACACCGTGATTACAGGGTGACACAGGGAAGGACACATGCGTGGGAGTGAAGCAGGTATCAGGCAGCCTGGCAGGTGGCTATGGACCACCCACCACCCGGGCTCCCAGAACCTTCATGTTGGACCTGGGCTTTACCACAACCTGGCTGTCACTCTCCCAGCCTGTCACCTTTCTATTGTGGCCTCCCTGTGACATACATAGAGATGCTCACAATCTGAGGCCTGGACCAACGTGACGTTGACCCCTCCCTCACGGCCACCTTCCTAGCCTGACCCTGAAGCACTCCTGGACTTGACAGCTTTTACCCTGAGTGGAGTCAAGCATGGAGGAAACTGTCAGGGCAGTTCACAGGTTAGCATCTCACTGTCAAGAGACAGACTGCAGGGCCAGGGAGACGGCTCAGCAGGTGAAGGCACTTTGTTATCAGGGCTGATGACCTGAGATCAATCCCAGAACCCATATGATGGAAGGAGAGAGCTGGTTCTCACAAGTTGTCCTCTGACCTCCACCTGTGCCCTGACACCTGCACGCACACACACACACACACACACACACCTAATTTTTGAAAAATTTAGGGCTGGCTTGGTGTCTAACCTGGTCTACATAGTCCAGCCAGGGCTACAGAGTAGGACCATGCCTCAAAAAATAACCTTTTTTTAAAAAAGAGATAGACCCAAGATGGATGTGGTGGCACCGTCTATAATCCCATCACTGGAGAATATAACAGGTTTGAGGCCGGCTTGGACTCTTTAGTGAGGCCCTGCCACAAAACAACAGAAAAAAATGGGGTCCCTAGGCCCAGGCCACATCCATCCCTCGGAGATAAGGAGAGTCCGGATGGTGGCTCCCGTGTAGAAAGTCTTCCCCAGAGTACTTACCCATGCAGGAGAAGCTTTCCTCAGTCCTGCTAGCGGGGCTGGTGTATCCATCAAGGGTCCAGCTTTCCTGAGGAATGGGGCCAGGCTCCTGGTCTGTCTGCAGCCTGTGGGGCCAAGAAGGAAAGGTAACTCATGGCTTCAAAGCCCCTCTATGGGTTAAGCAAACCCGTTTTGAGCTTGGGCCCTCTTTTCTACAATGCCCTGAGCTCCCTGGGCCAGCCTCTCTCCTGGGGACATGTGCACATGCAGACACTCCAGGAAGCAGCAGAGCTGGACCAGGAAGGAGGCCCCAGGGGCACCAGAATGTTCAACATCTGTTGCCCTTTGCTGCCCAGCAGCATACCTCATTCACAGAGCAGAAAGATACCCCCAGAATCTCAGGCATGAGTTCCTCTGGCCTGCTGTGATTCTTGTCCTTAGGATGTTCATGTTGGCTCAGCAGAGCGCATACCCGCAGGGAAGGGCCTGTCTCTGACGTTGAAGCCACTGGACTCCTGGCACTCAGAGGGCATTTGGCCTCTCTAGAATCGCTCACCTCAAGCACACTAGGTCAGAAGAGGAGAGAGAGGCTCCGCCTGAGCCCCAGTGACTCCTGATAGATCCATGGTGCCAACAGGAAGGGTGAGGTCTCTGGGCACGGGCTACCCAGCGCCCAGACCTCAGAACACAGCCCCAACCATACAATTGCTCCAGGAACAAAGGCTGTAGGAGCTCTCCTTACATGCAATTACCCTGGGCTCAGAGCGGTCCCGCCTACCCCCATATCCCCGCCCAATGTCGCCAGCTAAATGGACCCTTTGGCAGCTTGGCAGGAGGGGGAAGGGAGGGCTGTGCAGACAAGAGGGGAAATTGACAGCCTGGGCCAGGGGACCCTGGGAGTCTCCAGTGCCGCTGCAGTTTGTCTTCTTAGGTTTTCACTTTTTCCAATACCTCTGCGTCTGGGACTCTGAATCCAGCTCTGCCATGAGCTCACTGTGTAACCCAAGCAAAACATCTTCCCCTCTCTGGGCCTGGTTTTCATCAGGCCCGGGAGGGATGACCTCTGAAGGGCCAGGCTGAAGTGGCACACTGGGTCTGCCGCAGGGGGGGTCGTGGCTATCGCTGCCTCTCTCCAAGCCATCTGGGCAGCGCTGAGGTATTGTGCGCCTGCCAGGCCTCCGATGGGTGCTGGTCACAAGGCAGGGTGGAGGAAACTGAGAGAGCAGGAGATCTTGTGCTGCTGGCCTCTGGGAGGTGCTTGATGTAACGGGGGACACTCATCTTAGTCAAGTGTACAACAGTCAAGGGGACAGGGGGAAATGAGACAGTTGTTTTCTTGGAAAAGAAATTAGCGTGGACATGCAACATAGTGTTGTGAAAATAGTAGAACATTCTACTGAGGTGAGGGAATTCTATATAATGTATTAGAGGTCTTGTTGGATAGCATCATCTGTAGAGAGCTGAGCAGTGTCTGTCTTGGATAGGTGCTAGCCAGCTTTGCAACGACGACGGTGTGCCGTCACAAGTCTACGGCATCACTGCGTTACAAGGGCAGGTAAGAACGAATCGTCTGTATGTAGCAGGAACCCCAAACCCAGGAGCATGAAGGAAGGTGGCCTCTGCCTCTCTGCTCTTAGTTGGCTCTGCACACGTGTCTATACCTGCCTCCACTTCCCTATACATGCCAGGGCTTTTCAGCCTGAAAGGACAGGACAACGTAGGCCAGAAATCAGTGGGAGGCTGAACCAGAGAAGAAGAAAACCGAAACGGTGACCTCAATGACCCTACACACCTGACACCTTTATCCAACCATCCTGCCTCCCAAGTGCTGGGATTAAAGGCATGCGCCACCCCTGCCCACCACCCCCGCCGCCACCGACTATTCCTTCCTAACTAAAGTCTTGCCTGCAGATTGAAGGTGTGCACTATGAGGGAAGGACAGTGCTTGGTAGGTGGGGAGAGGTGTGATTATGATGCAGATGCTGCGGCCCTTTTACAGAAACGTACTGGGAGTCAGGAGGAAGCTGTGACGGAATTGGATGTGTGAGACCAGAAACTGGAAGACAGCCAGAGGGACAGTCTGCCTTCTGGGGCCCAAGAAGGAAGGGCATCAAGAGGAGGTGAGAGGCGGCAGGCAGATGAGTGTCGTGGGATGACCGCACCCAGATTTTGAAAAGATATGGCTTGGAGGCTGGGGCAAAGTGAAAGACGGGTCATGGATTTGTTTCCCAGACCCGACTGGAGACGAGGAGGAGGAAACCCATTAACCTGCTTCTGCGTTCACCTGAGGTTTTACAGAAGCCCAAGGTATTGGGAGTGGAGAACAGATTTCCACGAAAACAGGATGTCTATGGATTCTAGGGAACAGATGGCACCTCCTTGGCTATAGCGCTTAGCTGAGTGGCCTAGCCAAGCTCTTGGCAGAGCTGGTCATGGCAGCAGCTCCCGGCCCGTGCAGGGTGTGTGGAGATCCAGCCCATCTGCCTACAGCATGCCGGGGTATCCTCCATCCAAATCTTACTCCTGCTGTGACCCATCCTCCAACCACAACTGAGGGCCTGGGGAGCGCAAGGTCTAAGGATGGGTGGTAAGGACACCGCTTCCCGGAGAGGTGTAACCATTCCATTTCTGTTTAAAATGCAAACAAGCAGGCAGTGTTTGCTGAGTGCTGGAAACAGCGCTCTATTTAAGTTGCGTTAAAATGTTCAGAGGGAAATAGGCTGACCTCTTTAAAAAATGCCAGACTGTAAATATACCGGGGGACTTGTAGGGTGGATAATATAAAATCTGAGAGTCTTTAATACCTTGACACTTTTTCCCAAAGAATGAATTCAAAATGAAGGGAGTCGGGTCGGAAAAGAAAGTCACAGCCCCCAGGGAGGTGTTGAGCTGTTAGGGAAAAGGCCATTCAGAAGAAGGCTGGGGCCGGAGTGTGGCTCAGTAGCAGAGCCCTTGCCTAGCATGCGAGTGGCTGCGGGTTCGACCCCCAGCAAACGAGAAACAAAAAAAAAGCAATAGCTTCCCTGTGTCTACGCTTCTCGGTTCAGTTTTAGCTTCAGAATCTCAGAGGAGAAAGAAAAGGGACAGATGTGACCTGCCCCTGAAAGAGGGACATCTGTGCATTGAGTCGGTAGGTATAGTCAGCAAAAGAACTCGCCTGGGGAAGAATTCCTGGGCTGTGAATCTGCTGGGATCCCGCGGTAAATAAAACTCCCTGCCTTACAGTCAGTTTGTCAGCCTTTCTCGCTGTTGGAAAGTTCTTCCCAGCCAGCCTCGGATCTGTCTCGAGCTAACTCCTAGCCACCATGACACTGAGTCAGCTTTTTGGAGCTGCTCCAAGCAAACTAATTCATCTTACAGCACGACAGCCTTTCCCATATTTGAGAACAGCTCACAGACCTTCTACACCTTCTCCTTCCAAAGCAAGCTAACTCCTTCATTTCCTCCCCTCATTCTTCAGACACCTTTGCGGGACTCCTCGGTAAGGTGTCAGTCCTTTTCTAAAGGAGTTTTGGTGTGCCAATGTCCTTTTTTTAAAAACGTGGTGCTTATCACTGAATGCGGCACTGCCAATGAGGCCTGACCACAGGCAGAATAGAGTGGATATTAATTTCCTTGTCCCAGGTCCCAACACCTGGTACTGTGATATAAGGTCGCACACAATTGTTTAGAGATCTATATACTTGTGAGTGGACTGCTAGTGAAGGATGATATGCCTGGGGCCCGGGCTTTCAGCTGCTCTGAAGTCTCAGAGGTTCCCCTAGCACCCAGGGACTGATGCATAATAAGCTTTTATATACCCCAAGATGCAAATTGACAGCGACTTCCTATCTTAGCATGGGAGTAGGGGGAATCCAGGAAGTGAGTACAGTCAAGAAGGGGTTTAACTTACATTTGGGCATTTCTAACCTACATAACGATTAGAAATTGAAATTTAGTTTACTTAATATGGTCATGTTAGTAAAGAGTTATTTTTTTACTTAAAAAGCCTAGTTGGCTCGATGTTACTCCATGCACTTAACTTGCCGTGTCTGAAAGCTGGAGAGGCCGGCATGTTGACCACACTGCCAACGACAACAGCGTCTACCTAGCCACTTAAGAAGTATTACCGACTGCCTACACACCATCACGTCAACAGGCATAAGGCCGTGCGACAAGCGATGTGAACAAGGAGGTGAGAGGGAGAGAAGGATGGACAGACAGACACAGAAATGTGATAAGAACAGCACAGAGACGCAGTTAAGGCTTTGCTCAAGCTACTGAGGACTCCGGGGCTCAAGACAGCACAGTCTGTCTAGCACACCGTGGTGGCAAACGGCCCACACAGATTTGGCAAGTCTAAAGCACCCCTGACCCTGCTGCCTGTGTATCGGGTGCCCAAGCATCTTTCATACCCTCATACAGTTTCATCATTTCCAATAGAGTGTGGAATGGGCCACTTTAGGGACACCCTCATGAGTCTCTCTTGTCAAGGCCCCAGGGTTGAGACACACACACACACACACACACACACACACACACACACACACACACACACACAGAATTTAAGATTATAGTCCTGCCTTACACGCCCAAGGTTCTAGCCATCCCCTTTCCTAGGGCTTTTGACCCTGTAGTCTCACGAAAGCCTCTCTTTCCAGTGAGATTGCCCCTTGGTCCCAGGACCATTGGCCCTCTTTCTCTGTCTGCCCGCCCACTTCCCAACTCACCTGTACTGAAAGGGGGCCACCGTGGCTGTGATTGGCTGGCTCTGCTGATGGGCGGAGGAAAAGCTAATGGTCCCCGGAGTATGAGAGGGCTTCAGACTCTGCACGGGGCTGCAGACTGGAGAGGGAGTCCCTGGAGCCGCCCCTTCATCAAGCTCCAGAGACCTAGGGGGTTTGTAGTTTTTGTCTCTTTGATCTTTTCCCTGGGAGCTAGGAAGCATCCGACCTTCAGGAGGCCCTGGAATTTGAGTTTCTCCATGACAGCTTGTCGGGGGTGGGCTCCTTCCCCTGGTCTGGCGAACTGAGATTCCGTCCTGGGTCTTCTTGCGCTGGGTGCCTTGTGTCTCCCCAGCTCTTCTGGGTCCCGCCTGACTGGAGAAGGCTGTTTTGGGGGTTATCCTGGGGCTGCTCCAGGGGGAGCTGGGAAGGCTTTCTCCACTCTCTGCTGGCCCTGCAGCCCTTGGAGTACCTCTTCCTCTGTAGGCCTTCGGGGAAGAGTTTCTAGACGAGACTGCAGCCTTGCGCCGACTTGGGGAGGCAGCTCGCTGGGGGCTCAGGGCCAAGTCAGCCTGACGAGGCCGAAGCTGAGGAGAAGCGCCCGGAGTGTGAATCCTGGTCTGTGAGGAAGCTCGAGGCACCGGGATGGAGGAGGCATAGTGCGGGCGGCTGGCGGAATTCACGTTGGCCATCCCATTCATGGTCAGCGGCCGGGGTAGGGCCACACTAGGATCCTACAGAGACGGGAGAAAAGGAGAATGTCAGGTAAAGTCTCAAGTGTCTGTCCCCTGGTGCATAGGGATGATGCTGGCATTGATAGACAGCCAGGGACTTCCTGCCTGACTCCGGGCAAATATGTAAGTCGGGGTGTGAAAAGGCGTTGAGAACATGCTCTACACATGAGCTGTTTAACTTTCCTTGACTCTGCTCCTCTCCAGCGATGGAGACGGACTCGCCTCACAGTTGCTACTGGATCAGACCTTTCATGGTACCACAGGTCTTTTAGATACCTCCCGAGGGAAATGCAATATTCTACATGCCGTTGGACCCAATGACATGTAGACCACAGTTCTTCCAATCCAGAAACTTGTAATTACTGGGCCGGTCTCCATGAGGCCCAGGCTCCTCCCACTCTCTTACCCTCTTAGTTGATGACCTTGCTTTTCCCAACCCCACAACCATGGGGGATGTGAGCACCGGGCCCCCAGAGTCCTCTCTGCTCATTCCCCACCTGCATCCTGCCTTTGTAAAACTGGTCTCTGCCACTTCCTCCCCTCTCATGTAGCCTCAGAAACTGAGTGTCTCACCTGAAGGTCAAAGCAGGTGCCCCAAGTACCTTCAGTCAACAGCATCATCCCTTCTCTTCCATCTTGATACATTAATTATCCCACCTCTCTTCCAGATCTCCCTCTCTCTGTCTCTCTGTCCCCCCCACCCAGCTCTGCCATGTTAATGAGTGAAGTAATTATTCTCGATTCAAAGAGAATTTGTAGCTGTTTGCAAAGACACATGTAATCAAATTCGGATAAATTTAAGAGTCAAGTCTTTAAAAATCAAAATATAAGAATGTACAGAATACAGACATGAACACGTCCATGATTTTGTTATGGGAAAAAACTTTCTAAGAACCACATCTCAGGCAGAAATAATAAAGGAGCCTGGAGGCAGTAGTGCACACCTTTAATCCCAGCACTTGGGAAACTGAGGCAGGCAGATCTGTGAGTTCCAGGCCAGCCTGGTCTACAAAGTGAGTTCCAGGACAACCAAGACTGTTACACAGAGAAACCCTGTCTTGAAAAAACAAAAACAAACAAAATAGGCAAACAGACAAACAAACAAAACAAGAAATAATAGAGGAAATGCCGATAGAATTTGAATACATAAAAGTTAAAGTCTCTACATGGATTTTAAAAAAACAATCCTTTACAGACATTCAAAAAACCAAAGAAATACCTACTACAAGTATGAAAAGCAAGGAGTTGCCTCTGAAGACAGGGCCTCCACCGTGTCAATACTAGACAGCAAATACTCCACAGAATAAAGGGCAATTAAAAAGAAAAAAACAAAAAACAACAACAATGAAAAAAAAGAAAAAAAAAAAAACCCTCACAAAATCATCATGCAGTCATCCAAAACAAAGACAAAACATTCCATTTGCAACTTTGTAGCCCTGCCTGGCCCGGAACCCAGTAAGCAGAGACTACCGGCTTCTATCTCACAGGGATCCCTGTACCTCAGACTCCCGAGTGTTTGGGACTGAAGATGTGAGCTACCATGCTGGGCTTCTATTCAAAAATTTAAAAATGCAAAATAAATAGGCTCTCACTTGCTGGTATCCAGTTAACTCTTATTGAAAACTGTAACACGGACTGTTGGTAAGAACACCAGGCCGTTTATCCCACTGTAGGAACAATAGCACGTCTAGAAAACTGTCCTAGGAAAATGATTCAAGATAGGAGCCCAGATTTATACACAATGAAAATACTCAAGTTGCCGTTTGCAGGATAAATTGCCGCCGCTGTGTGGCAATGGAGACAGGGGCATTGTGGACAGTGAACCAAACTCCCAACGCTTGGCCAGTCCACCTGAAATCACCAGGGCAGCCGCTTTTGTGCCGAAAGAAGCCAGCAGCAGCAGGGTCGGCGGTGATGTTTATGCGGTGGGCAACCTCTCCCTGACCTTTGACCTGCTGCCTGGGACCAGCTGTGGGCTAGTCTGTGAGAAGTCAAGGTAGATGTGCCAGTGGAGGTGGCTCTGTAGCAGCAGCCTGAAGGCTGTCGGAGCACACAGACTCGACATTCCGACAGAGGACAAGAAAGAGAAGCCGTATGCTCTCTCTCCACTTTTTCATACTTCAGTGGTTGATGGCATTACTGGATGACCTAAGCGCCCCTCCACCTGCTCCATTAGAGGTGGCTAGCTAGGAAAGCTATATGCACTCAGGGACCACAATGAGCTCTCCTTTGCCCTTCCAGCATCGTTACCTGGAGGACCACACCCAAGGCCCAGCCGACTCCCACTTCCCCTGCTGTGTGCTCCTTGCCCACCTACCTGGTCAGACTGAGGGAGGGAGTCGCCCTTTGCCTGCCTAGTCTCCCAAGCAGAGCATCCTTGCTCTATTTCAGTGCCGGCATGAGAGGACCAAGAAGTTCTCTCACAGAGATTTCTAAGAGGAACTCCAGCAAGTACTGCCTGCACCTGCTAGCAGTTGGGAAACTACGGAACCTCTCCACGCCTGAAGAATGACGGCAGGATAAACTGAGGTACAGAGCGTGAGTCCTTCAGCAGGAAGAGAGCACCCTGCTTTGTAGCCTACGGCCTCTGTGGGGTCGAGAGTGGCTTTAGCCTGCCATCCTTCCACCCTGCCACCCACCCTTTAGTAGTCAGCGATGTGCATCAGTTATAGGGTACTGAGCACTGGCTACGAGGTTTATGTGGCCTCAAGGGGCTGACCTTGGCCTAGAACACTGAGCTGAGCTGGGCTCCGAGCAGTTGAGCTGACCAGCAGGCCCCTTTGCAGCAAAGGGGACAACCGATCTGTCCCACCCATGCTCAAGATTTTACCACTGGTAAGATGCTACATGGCCTAGGTTTGCTCCTATCCTTAATCCCAATCCAAATCCAACATGGGGACCAAATTCAGTTATGCCCCTCAGCTCACCTCCCTGGAATTTACATCTTTAAGAGCATCTGGAAATTGCATCTTGGTTCAGTCTGGCTGATCCAGTGTCTCCAGGGTGTTGCACCCTGACTCAAAGACCCATAGGTATCCACCTACCTTATCTGCCAGGGACCTCCAGCTCCTAGCTCTGCAGGGCCTAGAATGGACTTCCTTGCCTCAGATGTCCCCACGCCCTCTGGCTAGGGCTGGCTGGCTTTCCAGTTCTCACCGTCTGAAGGCCAAGGCTGCTTCTAGCTCCCTTGCTAATGGAGTACACCCACAACGGTGCTGCTTTCACCAGATCATCATTTTTTAAAAAGCATAATGGGAAGGACTTTTAAAACTGCGTTGGTAGGTCGCTGGGGCCCCGCCCCACCTGCCTCTCCATTGCAACTGGGACCTTGCTTGCCCTTTCTCCTCAGATGGTAGCCCTCTAGGAGATTGGAAACAGGATGCTGCTTAGGAGGTGACAGCCATTGTCCTGGAGGAGCCTGGGAGAACCACACCAGCCTTAGGGTAAAGGAGGATCACTCCCCAGACAGCAAATTATTCTAGCCTGTGGCAGAGGGGTCATGTAGGGGCGTCGCTAGTTTTTTGTTTTTTTTTTCATAAGTGAGCATCTCTAGGTACCTAGCATTTGGGAGAGGAACTCAAAGGATGCCCAGCGCACACACTTGCCCATACCAAGCTGTTCCCGGTGTACCTGGGAAACAGTCCCTTTGAGTGAGACATTATTTCCAACCCTCACAACAACCCGAGAAGGCAAGTTTTACTATCTGCCTTTCACCAGACACCAGGAGAGTGATGCTGTAGTTGAGTGAGCTGTGCCAAGACGCACTGGGCGTGGAGTGAGCTCTGTGGGTCTGCAGACCACATTCATCAGCAGCGGTACCCAGCCTCCGCCCCAACACCCCTTATGCTATAGTGGACTCTCTCCTTGCTGTGATTGTCTTCTGAGTCTCTCAGAGATGGAGCTGGGGAGGCAGATTTAGTCCACAGGTTGGAAACCAAAGCTGGAGAAAATCGGTGATGGGCGGCACCGGGTGGGGAGCTCTTCTCCCAGCATTCCTCATGCCTTATTCGTTCTCTGCTCCCCTCACTCTGTCTGCCTCGGGCGGTTGGGGTAAGGATGAGACAGGGGCACCAAGAGGGGGAGAGATGGCAGATGTAATCCAGCCCTGCCAGAGATCTAATATGCCCGGTTGGTGGCTGGTGATACACATGGGCTAGGGTAGAAGCTTATGTGATAGCTAATCTTGGTTGTCAGTTTGACTACATCTGGAATCAACTTAAACCCAAGAAGCTAGGCATCACTGTCAGGGATTTTATTGATTGGATCATTTAAGATGGGAAGAGCCACCCTAAATCTGGACACATAAAAGGACATGGAAGAAGGAGGCTGTTGCCTTTTGCCTGCTTGCCTTTACTCTTGCCAGCAAGTTCATCTACCCTGCTGCTGGGGCATACCTTTGCTGCTGTTAGAACCTACTTCTTTGGGATTCCAATATAGACTGAAGCCCAGCAGCTCTCTAGGAATCCTCTAGGACTCCAACATTAGGTTGGGTCTGTAGAAACATCCAGTCTCATGAACTGAAAAACTATAGGATTTCTGTCAGGAGAGAGCCATCGTTGGACTATCTGGACCACAGCCTGTAAGCCACTCTAATAAACCCCATACATATATATACACATATATACATATTGAATGAATAATATGAATATATTAATGAGTGAATATATGTATATATTCATTCTATCAGTTCTTTAGCAAATACTGAAACAGCTTAGGAGAAAGGTTGTAGAAAGGGTAGGGGGTGGGGAAAGACACATGGGTGGGGGCCTCTGAGCTAAGACATGGACAATGGTGCTTCCTGAGGTCATAAATAGACCTCTGTCCAGGCGTTTTCTCCTGGGCCATAGTCAGAGGCTGCTGGCTGTGGCACCTACGGCATTCTTAGTGAGCCAAATGATTTCAAGACTCCATCCTTGTTCTGGGGCTCATTTTGCTCCTGCTCTGCCCTCACTCCTCATTGTTCTGAGTCCTGAACATGCAGAATAAGGTAATACTGGGGA